TTGGGACTGCCTGTTGGCCTAGATGACAAATTTACCAGCATGAGGACTGCAGTGACATCTGTGGTCACCAGGTAACTCCAATGCCAGGCAAAGCACTAAGGTCTTTGTCTCATTTCATCACAACTCAGCAATATGGGTACTATTATCCTCTGTCACTGGGCCAGGGACCAAAGGGGATGGCATAGAGAGGTTGTCTGTGACCTGGACAGATCCACCTAACTCCAAAGTTCATGTTCTTCACCCCCTCACCAGGGACTTCCCCACACTTCCTTTCAAAGGGCAGGGCCTCCGCCATGGCCAGGGGACGCTGTGTGGGGGAAGCATGGGTCTCTGGTCAGGGACCTGCCTGGAGCCTCCCTCAGGGCTTCCTGTCTTCCAGGGGCCTAGAGCTTGGCAGGCCCTTGGCACCTCCTGGTCTGGTCTCGCCCCTGCTCACACGGACTGTGGAGCTCCATGGATTGTTGGAAGTTTTTATTGAGGAAGGAGCTGGGGTTCAGGTCCTCACTTTGTTATTTACTGTTCAGTGATCTTAGTTACTCAGTTCTCTGGGCCTCCTGGAGACTGTCTCACAGAGGGTGTGGAGGTGACATGAGCAGGCACTTGGTGGCCAGACTGGAAGTGAGCCCTGTCAGAGGTGGGGTGGAGGGCTGGGTAGAAGGAAGCCTGACCCACAAGACCAGGTCCATCAGGTGGGTCAGCAGGCCAAGGAAGGAGGGCAGGAGAGCAAGAGATGCCACCCCTGTGTGGGGACAGGAAACTTGAGTGAGCTTTGCTCCCTTCCTGTGGGCAGCAGGAAGAGAGAGCGCTCTGCTCTCCTTTGGAATGTGCCCCTGCCTCCTCGGTACCGCAAGACACAGACCTCTAGCATTTGGGCTGAATTAAGAACTTCAGACGTCAGCTGCCTCTGAATCACAGGCTGCTCCGAGCCCCGGGAGCACTCCGGGATCATATCCTGGAGGGTGGTTTTTACACGGTGTTCAGCAGGCTCTGGGGAACTTTGGGGTGCCTGGAGGAGAGGGCTCTGAGCCTCACCCTGGCTTCCCTCACAGCAGCTCCCTGTGTCTGCATTATAAATTGGATTCCTTTTATTTCAAGAGAAGAGAGGAGTCTGCATCCAAATAGAGAAAGGGAGGAAAACCACTCCTGTATCCCATGTTCTCATTTTACAGAGTTCTGGAGAAGTCACGAGCTAGACAGTGGGCGGGTGGGATTGGAGCCCTGTCTGCTGGGCTCATTAGTGCATACCTTCGTTCACTAATCAATTCAACAAGCACACACCAAATGTCCCCACTGTGCCAGGCATGGTGGCAACCAGGAGGATTCAGTGGAAGCCAAAAGAGAAAGAACCCCTGTCCACAGCGCTTAAAGTCTAAGGAATGACATGATTAATGACAGTCCACATATTGGCACATATTTCCATGTGCCATATATTTTACATGTATCAATTCTTATGACAACCCCGTGCGGTAATTAGATCCCCAATTTACAGGTGAGAAAACTGAGGTGCAAATAGGTGAAACAATGTGCCTAGGGCCCAGCAGTTGGTGAGTGGTAGAGCTGGGAATTGAATCTTGACTGTAAGGCTCCAGAGTTCAAGCTATTTTGTACTCCATTACATAGATAAATATAGTTTACAGTTCATGGTACTATCTATGAGTTTACTTACACACAGGGAACCTGGGAATGATAGATCAGGGTCGTGAGGGTGTGGGCCAAGGCTACCCTGAGGAGTGCTTCAATTAAAATGGAAGGACAATGTTTACAGGCAATTGATTTTAAACGGTGTTTCCAACGTCATTCAGCAGCCTTCTCAACAAATGTTGCTGGGACAACCCGATAAACACATGTAAAAGAATGAAGTCAAACCTCTATCTCATACCGTATGCAAAAATGAACTCAAAACGTATTAAAGATCTCGATGTAAGGGCTAAAACTATAATACTCATAGGAGAAAATACAGTTGTAAATCTTTGTGACCTTGAATTAGACAATGGTTCCTTGGATGTCAAACTAAAAAGCACAAGCAATAAAAGAAAAGTAGATACATTGGACTTCATCAAAATTAAATACTTCTGTGTTGGGCATGGTGGCACATAACCTGCAATTCCAGCTTTCCAGGGGGTGAATTCCAAAGGATGAAGCAGGAGAATTGCAAGTTCAAGGCCAGACTGGACAAATTACTGTGACCTTGTCTCAAAATGAAATAAAAGAAAAAGGGCTGAGGATGTAGTTCAGTGGTTCAGTGGTACAGCACTTACTTAGCATGTGTGAAGCCCTGGGTTCAATCCCTAGTAACACACACACACACAAATTAGATATAAAAGCCATCCGGAGAGTAAAGTCAGAATGCACAGAATGAGAAAAAAATCTTGAAAATCATGTATCTGATAAGAGACTTGTATCTAACATAGATATATAAAAAAAACACAACTCAATAATAAAAAAGACAATCTCATTTAAAAAATGAGCAAAGGATCTGGAAAGACATTTCTCCAAAGAAGGTGGTACAAATGGTGGCCAATGAGCACATGCAAGATGCTCATCACTCATCATGGGACAGGCACCACCCAAACCATGATGGGTACCACCTCACACCCACTAAGACATCAATAACTAAAAAGAAAGTAAAAAGTGATGATGAGGATGTGTGGAAATTGGAACCCCCAACACAAGCGTGGTGATGGTGTACAATGTACAGTCTCTGTGGTAAGTAATGTGTCAGTTCCTCAAAAGCTTAAACACAGTAGTATCATATGATCCAGAATTACACTCCTAGGAATTTTCCCAAGAGAAATGAAAACATATGCCCACACAAAAAAATTATAGCAGCATTATTCATAGAAACTAAAATGTGGAAGCAACCTAAAAGTCCACCAACTGGTGAATGGATAAATAAAATATGATGTCATCAGGCAATAAAATACTACTAGGCAGAGTACAAGGTGGATGGACCCTGAGAACATTATGCTAAGTGAAAGAACTCAGTCACAAAAGGCCGCATGTTGTATGATTCCATTTATATGAAATGTCCAGAATAGACAAATCCATAGAGACTGAGATTAGATTAGTGGCTGCCCACTTGGGGTCAGGGGAATTACTGCTAGTGAGCATGGAGTTTGTGTGTGTGTGTGTGTGGGGGTGTGCAAATATTCTAAAATTGATTGTGGTGATGGTTTTCCAACTTTGCAAATACGGTAAAAATAATCTAATTGTATATTTGAAGTAGATGGTAATTATATAATAAAGTTGTTATTTTAAAAAGATGGATGGGATGCAGATTCCTTGGAAAACTGGGAATGGAACCACCATTTGACCCAACTATCCCTCTCCTCGGTCTATGCCCAAAGGACTTAAAAACAGCATACTACAGGGACACAGCCACATCGATGTTTATAGCAGCACAATTCACAATAGCTAAACTGTAGATGCCCTTCAGTGGCTTCAGGAGATGAATGGATAAAAAAAATGTGGCATATATACACAATAGAATTTCACTCAGCAAAAAAAGAGAATAAAATCATGGTATTTGCAGGTAAATGGTTGGAGTTGGAGAATATCATGCTAAGTGAAGTTAATCAATCCCTAAAAACCAAATGCTGAATGTTTTCTCTGATATAAGGAGGCTGACTCATAGTGGGGTAGGGAGGGGGAGCATGGGAGGAATAGACGAACTCTAGATAAAGCAGAGGGGTGGGAAGGGAAGGGAGGGAGCAAGGGGGTAGAAAAGATGGTGGAATGAGATGGACATCATTACCCTAAATACATGTATGAAGACATGAATGGTGTGAATATATTTTGTATACAACCAGAGATATAAAAAATTGTGCTCTATATGTGTAATATGAATTGTAATGCATTCTGCTGTCATATATAACAAATAAGAATTTTAAAAAATGGATGAGCTGGGTGTGGCACAAGTTTGTAATCCCAGCTACTTAGGGTGCTGAGGCTGGAGAATTGCAAGTTTGAGGCCAACCTGGGCAATTTAGCGAGACCAGGTCTCAAAATAAAAAAATAAAGAAGGGCTGGGATTGTAGCTCAGTAGGAGAGTCCCCCTGAGTTCAATCCCCAGTACTGTAATAACTAACTAAATAAATAATAAACAGATGGATTGATGAAGACGTGTTAACTAAAGCAATGGAAGGGGTTGGGGTTTTGGAGTACTTTCTAAACTAAGGGAACTACATGTGCAAAGGCTCTGTGGCTGGGAGCCCAGTATGTTTAAAATGGAAAAGGAGACCATGCAGCAGCAGCTAATCAGATAAAATTAAAAAAATGTGAGAGGAGAGCTGGTGAGTCAGCAGCTGGTGTTCAGGGCCTTGGCCTGAAGGACCGCAGCAAGACTGCAGGTATATAGACGCAGGCAAGCACCGTGGGACTCTCACAGCGATGCTGGTGATGGTACAGAGCTTGCCACTGTCACTCAGGCTGTCTTGCACTTCCTTCTTTCTGGCTTCATCCATCCGCCTGGGGACCCCAGGACAGGATGTGGGATCTGGAGGAACTAACTGCAGAAGGAATTGTCAGAAGTCTCTGTGGCGGTTCAGGTGCCAGCTCTGCCGCTCACTATGTGATTGGCAGGTGCTTTTCTCTCCTGCAGAGTATATTCAGATGGCCCTTCCTGCTCGCCCTTCCTCAGAGGGCCATGGAGAAGAGGCGCCATGTGTCCAGCACTTTGTGAAGAAAGGTTAAAAGGTCATGATCTCTCTGCCACAGGCTGCCTTCTTTCTGGGGTCCGGGGCCTGTGTGGGCAGGGCTGCCGCAGCCCTTCTCTGTGGCTGACGAGGTTTTCTGCAGACGGAGCTGGCTTGGATCCTGAGATTGGAGAGTAAGACTCCCAGACCTGGGCCGCTCCTCCCCAGCGCCTGGGCACTGTGGGGAGGTCAGGGAGGAGGCGCTGGGAGCTGAGGGCAGGCTCCATGGTCCTGGAGCTGACTCATGCAGGGAGGCAGGGAGGCAGGGAGCGGAGGGGAGTCTGGGGTCTCCTTGGCTGGAGTCGTTCCTGTTGGTTGATCAGACACCCACTTCCTGCGCAGGCTCAGAGTCAGCCCAGGGAGTACTGGTGCTGGGCTGGGAGAGGGGGCCAAAGCCTGGAGCGAGGAGCCCACCTAAGATCATGCAGTTGCTGGGGGGCAGAGCAAACAGAAGCCAGCAGAAGTCAGTGGGGAGGAGGGGGAGGTCTTCTGGTCCAACCTCCACACCATGCACACAGAAAAGAAGCCATAAAAACTCAGACCTCCCACAATTACAGGGACAGGCCAGCCTGCAGACGCTGGACAGACGGGTGACAGGCAGTGGCCATAAGGTCTCTATTGCTCAACCTCAGGGACTCTTATTCAGAGACCCTGGACATTTCCCCAACATCCCACTCCTTGTCTTAGTCACCCTCCCCAACACTCCCCTGTAAAAGTCCCTCTTACCCTCTCTCCAGGCCAGCCCCGCTTCCTGCATTCCCAGAGTCAGGGTCAAGCCCGGGCTTTTGCTGGCCCTCAGCCCAGGATCCAGCGACCATACAACCATGCTTGGTGTGTCCTAGACAGAGCCTGTCACCGGACCCCAGTTCTACTCACCACCCTGGGGTACCCATCAGTGAGGGACGACATCGCCTGCTCTGTGCCCCAGCCAGCTAGACACCTGTCCCCTGCCCCCTTCTCCGGACAACTTCTTGATCCCAAGGCATTCCTTCATCTCTGAAATAGACATTCCCTGCTTCTTGCCCTTGGTCAGGTTCACCCCCCATGGTTTCCCCGCATCCCACCCATCTTGATGGGAACCTCCAGCAGTAGCCGGAGACCTCTTTTGGATGCACAGTTCTTGATTGATGTCCTCAGAGGAAAGCCCAGACTCCTCCATCTGGGGTTGAAGGCCCTTCTTAATGTTGTGCTGGCTCCTGCCATGATCCCGCCAGTTCCATTGGGTGCCATTCTCCACACCAATCAACTTCTGGGTCCCTCCTCAGGCCTCTGTCCCCCAGATCCCTGCCCAAGGCTCTTTTTCCTCCTCTCTCTGCTCTCACTCCTCAAGGACCACATCCCTCCATGATGTCCCCTAGATAGTGGCACCGAGCCCTTCCCGTGCCCCCAGACCCCTCAATGGTACCCCGTGCAGACCTTGACTACGTGCCTGTGACACTGAACACACAGCCCCCTCCCCAGCCTGTGAGCACCTCAGCCCAGAACCAGGTCTAACTGGGTTCAGGAAAAAAAGTAGAAGGAAGGAAGAGGGAAGAGGAGGAAGAAAGTGTGTACTCAAGCACCTCCTCCCCCATGGTTTCCCCCAGACAGACCCCGTCACTGCCACCTAGGCCCTTGGCTTGCATGTCTTTGTGGCACAATTGTAGGTGGCTCATGTCAACTACTCATGTTCACACAGGCCCTGGAGCTGAATGTGGGAGCTGAAGGCCCTTGAGGCTGCACTTGGATTCACAGATGGGAAAGCGGAGACTGGCGAGGAGCAGGCACTGCCGAGTGTCACACTGCAGACCAGAGCATACAAGATTCAAGACCGAAGCTCAAGTTCCTCTGAAGGGGACTCGAGTCCACTCTCTGAGTCTGCTGCCTCCATCTATGAGCAGGGCAGAGGCCTCCTGCTGGGCCTCTTGATCCCAGAAGCACATCATGGGGGCAGCCTTTGTGGCAACCAGGCCAGAAGGAGCTCACTTACCAAGGGGACCCCCAATCCACAGGCCCATGAGCAGCAGCAGGGCCTAAGTGTGATGGTCCCCATGCCAAGGGTGACAGGGGGTGAGAGCAGAGAGGAGGTCATTTAGAGGTGATTTGAAGCTCTCATGGGGCTCTGAATAGGTTGGACCTCAGTCTTTGTAGCACACCCCTGAGCACCCAGCCCTTCCCTTGCTTGTGTGTGTGTGTGTGTGTGTGTGTGTGTAAAAATTGCTCCCTAGCACTTAAACCCAGGCCCTTGCATGTGATAGGCAAGTACTCTACCACTGAGCTACACCCTGAGCCCATTTCATTCTATTTTTGCCCAGGCTGCCTTTGAACTCACCATCCTCCTGCATAAGCGCTGGAGTCCCCGGGATCACAGGCCTGCACCACCGCACCCAGCTCTATCCTTGGATCTTTAAAGCTCGCTGTAGCTCGGCTGGGCAGAGGTTGCCCTGGGATTTGACAACCCCTGCTCTCAGCCTCCTCAGCTCTGCCACTCACCCACTTGGGAACTCGTGCAAGAGGTCTAACATCCTGGTACCTCAGTTTCCTTCAGTTTCCTTCTCTGCGAAACGGAAGTAACGTCTATGTTTGTTAGATGGTAGGGTTGCTGGGAGAATTAAATCGTGCAGAAGAGCGCCTGGCATGTGGGAAGTGCTTGCTGGTGTGAAGGGACTTTGCTTTTAGGTCACACAGGTATATCAGCTGGCACGGTGGGCTCTGTGCTGCGCTCTGACAGGACATCTCAGGCCATAGGACATTGACAGAAAGGGTCCTTGAAGCCCTTCCAAATCTTGTGACTTGAAGGGATGTGTTGAAGGGGGAAAGCACACATCCTGGGTGTTGAGGAAGAGGACCCCAAGTGAAGCGGAGCCCGTCCTCCCCTCTCAGTGCTGGCCCAGGGCTGCAGGGCCCTGAGGGGGTGGGGAAGGTCCATCCCCTGGTGTCTGCTTTGTGTCTTCCCAGGACAGTCCCTCCTCACATCAAGGGAGGCTCAGCAGGAGAGTTTACATTCCCAAGTACCCCAGACAGCTGCGATGATAAGACCGTCTCTGCTCTGGGAGCCTGGCAGTGCCTTTATCTCTCTAGATAGGGCCCGGCTGGCCCAGGCTGGGGGAGGGAAGGGAATCTTCCGGTTTCTAAGATGTCTCAGAGCCAGACGCCCAGGTGCTGCAAGCCCACTAGCTCTGGTGTGGTTTCCCTAGAGTCCTCCTGGGCCTGGCTCCTGCCTGCTGTCCTCTCCTCTCCCCTCCCACTCACCCTTGACCAGAGCCAGCCAGGAACCGCCTAGACTATTTCCTTCATATCTTGGTCAGTCTGTGAGCAGCCGGAGGGCAGGTCCTCCTCGGATCCCTCAGAGCTGAGGCCTGACACTTCATACCTACTCAGAGCTCCTCCTCTCTTCCCTCCCCCTCCCTCCCAGTCCGAGACAGGCAGTGTTTTCCTCCTCTTCCTTCCTCCCAAGCCTCACATCCCTGGATTTATTCAATGAGCACTTACTATGTGAGAGGCAGTTGATTAAAACCCCAACTCTTGAGAGAGACTGGTATGATGGCCGTTTGACATAGAAGGATGTGTATAGAAGGCCGAGCTGGGCTCTGAGGTTCAGTACCGAGGGCACAGAGTGGATGCGAGGACTGACCCCAGGTTTTACCTATGGCCCGGGGTGGGGCATGAGGAGGAGCTCACCTGTACCTGGCTGAGGGGTGACAGTGAGAGGCCTGCAGAGGAAGAAGAGGATATTCCTGTTGCCTGGCAATGTGTAACAAGCCACCTGAAACTGAGTGGCTTGAAGCGATGACGTTTATTTTGTTCTCTAATCTGCATTTGGGCGGGACTTCTGGGGGCTAGGTAGCCTCTGCTCCAGTTGACCTTCCCGGACATGGTGGGACTCTGGAGCTGAAATTGCCTTCAGAGCTGTTCAGCTGGCTTAGCTGGGCTGCAGGTCAGGACATCTACAGGGCTTGTGCTTTAACTCATGTGGCTTGTGCTTCCTCACAACCGGGTGCCTGGATCCCAAGAGCCAGCATCCTGTGAGAGAGGAGAAAGATCAACAGATAGACAGTTGGAAGCTACATCAACTTTTAAGAGTTAGCCTTGGGGCTGGAGTGGTGGCTCAGTGGTAGAGTGCTTGCTTTGCATGTGTGAGACACTGGGTTTGATTCTCAACACCACATATAAATAAATGAATAAAATAAAGGTCCATCAACATCTAATATATATATAAAGAGCCAAGGGAAGCTGGGCAAGGTGATGCACACCAGTAATCCCAGTAGCTCAGGAGGCTGAGGCAGGAGGATCACGGGTTCAAAGCCAGCCTTAGCAATGGTGAGGTGCTAAGCAACTCAGTGAGACTCTGTCTCTAAATAAAATACAAAAATAGGGCTGGGGATGTGGCTCGTGGTCGAGTGCCCCTGAGTTCAGTCCTTGGTAGCCTTCTACCAACCCCCTACTCCCCACCAAAAAAAAAAAAAGAGTTAGCCTAGGGAACTGTGCAGTGTCACACCTGCCACATCCTGTTCATTGAGGCAGTCACAGAGGTGTGCCCAGTTTCAAGGGGAAGGGGATGGGCTTATCTCTTGACAGGGAATGACAAGTTTCCAGCGTAGAACTGGAAATATTCATGAGGCTGTTTTGGGGAAATTACCATCTGCCCACAGGGACCTCCTCTCCTGGCTGTTAGTGGTCCTCGGTCACTGACCTGGCAAGATTCTTCTGGGGGCTTGACCAGTACTTCCCCTTTCACCCACCTTTGAAAGCATGGCTATAGATGGTGACGGGGCGGGACTGGATGGCTGTCTACTGAGTGCTTAGTGCGTGCCAGGTCCTACATGGGGCACGACAGGTCTTAAGTCCTTGGAAACTGAGGCTGGGAGAGGTGAGGTGACTTACCAAAGTCACAGGAGTCATCAGGAACGCTTGGGTTTCAAACCAGGTCTGCGTAGCTCCGAAGGCCCTTCTGTTGCCCACGCACCCGCTTTTCCTGGGGGTAAGATAAGGAAGGCACATTGGGGTGAGGGCTTGAAGCTCCTTGGCCCTGGGCAGATCTCTGCATCTCTCTGAGCCTCAGTTTCCTCATCTGTTCAGCAAAATCATTTAAAAAAAAGAGCCTAGGGAAGCCGGGCCAAGTGATGCACCTATATATAACAGACTTTAAGAAACACAACAATAAAATAAAGAAATTAATGAAATAAAACGCTCAGTTGGGAGCTCAGCACTGTCTCTGGCGCACTGTGCTCTGGACCCAGATCACCCAGGCCCTCAGGAGACAGGACCTCCTCAGGTATAGGGGGCAGAGCAAGCTGAAGCAGAATGGGCCTCTGCCATTACCACGGGGACTCCCTGGTTCCTGTTGGCTATTTTTAGGCTTGTGTGGGCAACCACAGAACCACACGTGGGGCTTCCCATCGCCTGGCCAAGCCTCAAAGAGCAAGTGAGCACTTCTGATGGCGAAACTTGGGCCTCTGAAATGACGATGGACCTCTCTTCCCTCCAGTGTCCCCAGGTTGACATCGGACAAAGCCCAAGAGCCTGAGTTTCCCCGTTTATAAGCTGGGGATGACAGTAAGACAGTAGCCCACACCTGTAGGCTGCTGGCTTCCTGCCCGATGCTGGTTGAACCCCTCCTGGGCATCTTCTCAGGTGAGTCTGTGAGGCAGGTTGGAAGAAGCGGAAGTGACTTGGCTGGAAAAGTGGGCAGGAATGGAACCAGGGCTGGAGCTTTTGATCCCTGTGCCCTCGTCCTCCCCAGACAGAAGGAGGGTCACAGGGTTAGTCAAGACTGTGGGTGTGGGTGTTTGTACACTGGAAACTAGAATGGAAACTGCCCAGGCCAGGGAGAAGTCAGTCCATGGAGACCCCTCCGAGTCCACCCCAAGCCAGCTTTGGCCAGAGTGCTTCCCATTGTCACCTGCTTTCCACAAAGGGAGACTTGTAAGATTTTATTTTGACGACTTCTTCTTCTTTTTTTTTTTTTTTAAAAAGGCTTTGAAAGCCACTCAGGGTCATACTGAAAATCAAGTCACTCACCCAGGGCACACTTTGGGGACAGAGGCCCTAAGTGTCCGAGCCCTTGACACCAGTCCATTCCACAGCAGTGGCCCTGGGGACCTCCACCCAGTCCTTAGAGGAGCCCAAGCCTCAGGCCTACCCTCTCCTTGGCTCACATGGGACCCTCTGCCATTCTTACTTTTTGGGCCCAGGAAACCATGTTCCTGGAAGAGCCACCAGCCATGGTTAGGACTCAGACGCTCTGTAATTCCCCAAGGGGAAAAGGAAGAAAAGCACAACCAGAATATGTTTGTGTCAGTGAGTAAGAGTGTGTCCGTGTGTGTGTACACAGCTATCTGCTCACACATGTGTGCTCACACACCACATGTACTGCGTTTGATGCAGCACACTTCCCACACACAAATACGCCTCTATGTACACATTCACAGATCTCCAGCTCACATGTCCCCCTGCCACACACACACACACACACAAACACACACACACACACCACTTCTGTCCATATACCAGTACACATATACCTTGCAAAACACTCACACGCCCCATGTATTTAAATGGATTAGCATAAATACAAAACCACAATTTCTACAAAAAGTACAAACATGCACAAATATATGCATATTTACATACACCCAACCCTTACCCACTTCCATGGAAAAGCAGGTACATAATATATTCACACCGTGGAAGCTTGTATACAGACGCTCACACAAGCATGGGTGTGCAGGTATAAACGTGAGTATCCCTATTTTCTTGATTTACATATGTTCATACCCAACAAGAATCAACACAGAAACATAAGTATCCATGCATATATAATAGCAGCACACACCACAGTCATTTGCTCATGTTTGTGCAAATCCATACACACATGCCTGCATGCACAATCGCACCCTCACCTCCACCTGTACAAGCTCACCGCCGCTGCACACCATGACACACACTACTTTTCTGGCTCTCTTGTTGCAGAGCCACCTTGCAAAGGTGCAGAGACACAAACACCTAGTTCCACTTCACCTGAAAACCCCCAGCCCCTGCGCGTGGGAGGGTGAACCAGCCGCCCTCCCTGCAGGGGGCACAGTGGAAAGTATGATCCGAGCTGACTTTGGCAAGAGTAAAGATGAGGGTTTTTCCCACCCTGTCACTTCACTATGTCAGGGTGACCAGGGCTGCCTTTGCTAATGGCCCCTCTGACTCTAGGACAGTAAGGTCTAACACAAAATTACAGTTTACTCAGCAATGAATAAGCCAAGGCCTGGTCCCTGCTTCGTGTAGGCCCTGTGCTGAGGGCTGGGGTAGGGAGAAGAGCTGGCCCTTGGGCTGCACCATGGGGGTCACAGTTGGGAGGAGGGTAGGGGTGGGGTCCACAGGAAAGCTAGGTCAAGTTCCTCGAGGTATATTCACTTGATGACCAACTTGTCAACTGATCAATTTTCAAGTGACCAGTTTGCTGAGTATACCAAATTTATACTTAATTTTTTAAAAACTCAAATGCATATAGCAATTATATTGGGTAGATTGGTATTCGTTTTTGTTTTAGTGCACTATAGTACTTTAAGGAATGTTCCTTTGGCCCCAAGCTAAGGGCCCAAGGGTGGTTGAGTTAACAAAGGCACTTGATGTTTAAAACTGGAGAGGGACTTTCTGGGGACATCCACCAGCAACAGGGCCATTTGGGAAGCCTACAGCATGACAGGCTTTCTGGGATCACCTGACTCAGGTGCCAGATGCCTTGTACCTGGATTCTCCTCCAACTTGCCCCGTGACCTTGGCCAAGTCCCTTCTCTCATGGCCTCTATCTCTGCATGAACGAAGAACTCATCTTTAGGCCTTGCTGACATTTAATGAGACCCTGGAGCTTCCTGTGACTTCAGACCCCAGAGGGGATCTGGATCTGGGCCACAGGCACCAGAGAAGGTGCTGACTCTGTTGGGAGCAGCTCAGCCTTGCTCAGAACAAAAATCTGTCAGACAGCTGCCTGGGTCAGAACCAGGCCATTTCCAGGTCCTTTCCCTGGCCCCAGGCAGAGAGGCCTGGCGTGCTGTGGGTGGGGCACAGGGCTAGAGAGGGTGGGGCCCAGCTCACTTTCCTTTCCTGGTAATGTGCTCTCTAACCTCATTTCCTTTTTCTGAAGGGAAATGCCATTGACATCACACAACTGGATTTTCAGTGAGGCCGAATGAGACCTCGTGATCCCTGCTCAGGCAAGAAGGACACATACGCGGGCTAGACGCACATTTGTCCCAGGATGAATTTGCAGAAACCCTAATCTGAGGTTTCTACCCTCTGCTTTACACATGGGATCAGAGAGGGGCAGAGTCATGGCCTGGCTTCACAGCCAGACAGCAGAGCTAAGGTCAGAACCCAGGCCCCTGCCTTCTACCAAGGCACTAGATAGAGGGGTCTAATCTGGCCCCCTATACCCTTGTTAATAACAGCACCAACATCTACTAAGTTAAGGAGGCTGACGCACAAGGATCACAAGTTCAAAGCCAGCCTCAGCAACTCAAGAGACCCTGTCTTTAAATAAAATATTAAAAGGACTGGGGATATGGTTAAGTGCCCCTGGCTTAAATTCTTGATACCAACCAACCAACCGACCAACAAAAAAGCAAAATAAAAACAAACCCTTGGCACTCACCAAGTTGCCCAAGCCAGAAACTGGCCTCCATGCGGCCTCCTCCTTCTCTGGCCTCCTGCTTGTGGCAACATGCTTACTTGTCTCCTGCCTCTGTTCTGGGCCACTGCCCAGCTTGGGCTTCCTCATCCCTCTCCAGGAGATACCTAGCTGGGGCTCTGGTCTCCTCACTCACACACTCAGGTCTCTTTCTCTGTCCAACTTCTGCCCAGCTGCCTAGGTGACATTGCTAAGGCAGAGTCCACAATGTCCCTCCCTGGTTGCAACCTTTTCAGGCTCTTTGGCTGGGAGTTCCGGGCCCTTTGCATGCCCATCTTCCTCTCAGGTGCTCCCCCTGATTGTCCCTTTGCTCCCTCGTGCAGAGATGACTGTGTCCCCTGACCACACAGCCTTTGTGTATCTGCTCCTGCTCTTCCCTCTGCTGGGAGCCCCTCCCTCCCCTGCACATCCCCTCTTACTCTCCCCCAGGGAAGGCTCAGCACTTCAGATCTCCCTTCCCAGCCTCCTGCCTTGGAGGGAAAGAATCTCTTTGGCCTGTAGGTCTGTCCTCCCCTAGTGCCAGGAAAGCAGTGAGGACAGGTTATGGTGGAAAATTTTCAAACATACAACAAAAATAGAATAGTACAAGAATCCATGTGTCCCCAGCTCCGACTTGCACCCATTCAAAGTCTCCCCTGGTTGGATTATTTGGGGGCAAATCCCAAACATCAAGTCATTTCATCCATAAATATTGTAATCTGTATTTCTAAAAGATAAAGCTGTGATCAGATTACCAGTATCCTGCCAAAGTTTTGAATAATAGAATTTTATGATCAAATATCCAGTAGTATTTTACCAACTATTTCATAAAAAGGTCTCTTATTTATTTATTATTTTTTTTCTTTTTTGATATATTTTATTAAATGGCTGGTGTCTGGCACAATGGTTCACAGGCTTTTGAATTGAACAGACCATTAAAATTTTAAGATCTTTTTGATACCAACATAGAATTGCTAATTTTCACTTTGCCAAGTCCAGATGTTTAAAATGAACCAAGATCACCATCATAAATGAGTAAGCTCCAAAGCAATGTAACCATAACGATCTCAGATTTTAAAACAACGCTTCAAGATAAAAAGGTATTTTTTTTGGGGGGGTGGTACCAGGAAAATTGAACTGGGGGGGCACTAACCACTGAGCAACATCCCCACATCCCATGTATTTTATTTAGAGACAGGGTCTTACTGAGTTGCTTAGCATCTCACTATTGCTGAGGCTGGCTTTGAACTCATGATCCTCCTGCGTCAGCCTCCTGAGCTGCTGGGATTACAGGTGTGTGCCACCGCACTTGGCTAAAAAGGTCTTTTAAAGTTGGGTTTTTTTTTTTAAACTTAAGATCCAAAGAGGGTCAGTACAGTGCATTTGGTTGTTGCAATGATCTCTTTCAAGCTTTTCCTACTTTTCTTTGAAATTATTTGTTAAATAAACTAGGTTGTTTGTCTCATGCAGTTTTTTGGATTTTTCTGTCTGTGTCACCATTATTTGGCATGTCCTTCAGCCCCCTGTGTTTCCTATAAATCAGTAGTGAGATCTAATGACTTGATTAGATTCAGGTTTGAAGTTTCAGCAAGAATATTCCACAGGAGGTGCATGTGTCTCCCTCAGAAGTGGTATTCAGAATGTCTGGTTATATATTGTGCTTTCCATCTTTGATGATCTCTGCCTATATTTATTATTTCATTAGGCATTTGTAAGCAAAGGTATTTTTATTTTATATTACTTCTTCATTTATTAGCTGGAATATTTCTATAGAGGAAAAACTTCTCTCCTCCACTCTTTGGTTTCTCTGAGGTACAATTGTTCAGGCAGGATAAACACTTCCTGCTCTCCCCTTGCTTATCATTTGTCCAAACAATGAGTTGATTCTCTAACATTCTCCAAGACGACCAGCTAAGATTTTTTTTGTTGGTAGGTTTTGTTTGGGGTTTTGAACCATTACCTTGTATTTTAATACATCTGAAAGGTTTCGATCCTTTGTAGTTATTATATTTGTTATTACCCATGTTGTTCCATCTTTGACCCGTGAGGATCTCTTTTTTAATTGGCTTCTGAGTCCTTTTGATCAGACCCTAGTAGTATTATAACTTCTTCACTTTCTGGTATGACAAAATGTTCAGAATTGTCTTGTGCATTCTCTGCCAGGATATGTAACCAGCTATTTTTCCAAGAAGCCCAAGAAGCCCTGGTTCTTTTTAGTGAGAAATGGTATTTAGAGATCACGTATCTCTCTCTACATCTGGTGCTAAGGGTGCTCAAAACTATTTGGTTTGTCTTACTTCTAGACTTTTTTAGTCTAGTATAGGTACATATGCAACATGTACAACATACTAGTGACTACAGATAGATAAATATATCTCTATGTATATATGTATGTGTTTATGTGTGTATGTATGTGTTTATGTGTATATGCATGTATAATCTCCTACAAATCAAGTTACAGTCAAATTGCCAGATTTCTAAATCACTTGAAGTAAGTCAACTTTGCACGATGAAGCAACCAACTCAATATACGCATTAACTTATTTCATTTTGCTTTTGATTTGGAAGGAATGCTTCTGGTTTTTATTCTGATTTGATTTTGTTTTATTGTTATACAAAACATTTACCTGGCTCTAAAATTGTTCTACAAAATGAGGTATTTTCAGAGAAATCTAACTTCAATCTCCATTCTCTTGACCCCATTTCTTCCTTCTTCTCATGGACAGTAATTTTAAAATTTTATTTATTTTATCTTAGCGGATTTTTAATTAAAGAAAATATGCATGCCTTTACATATCCCTTTCCATTTCTTTGACAAGTAATAATGCACTTTTTTATACATTTTATTCCACTTTCCTTTTTCACTTAACATTGAACTCTAGAGACGATGCTATTGTGACCCACAGAGATCTGCCACCTTCCCTTGCCTGGCCACAGAGTGCCATTGTGTGGTCAACAATTCCCTACTAGTGGATACTTGAGCGGTCTCTAGATCTTTACTATCACAAATGGTGTTGCCACGAATAGCTTTGTGAATACGTCTTCTTTTTGCCAGTGAGTCTTTGGAATAGATTTCTAGAGACAAGATTATCAGGTCCAAGGGTACATATGTAAATTTGCTAGAACTCATCAAATTCCTCTCCATGTAGGGCTTGCGCCATTTCACATTCCCACCAGACAATAGACGAGAGGGCCTGTTTTCCCACAGTTTTTTCCAGTGGGGTACATTCTTAAACTTCTGGATTTTTGTAAGATGGAAAAATAAGAATCTTGGCTTAGTTTTAATCAGCATTTCTCTGATTAGGAACAAGGTTAAACAACTTTTCACATGTTTAGATTTTGATTCACTTTTGGGTCCCCAGTGCCCAGCACAGGGCCTGACACAGAAGAAGCTCTCAGGAGAGATTTCTGGAATGAAGGAATGGAAGAACAGATAAACAAATGAGGAAATGAAGTCTTAAAGGCGATGGCTGACTTGCCCAAGATCATGTGTCCAGTTATCATCAGAGTTGGAACTAAAATTGATCTGGCTTTTTTTTTTTTCAATAATACTTTTTTTTTTTTTTTTTGAGAGAGAGAGAGAGAGAGAGAGAATTTCAATATTTTTTTGTTTGTTTGTTTTTAGTTTTCGGCAGACAACATCTTTGTATGTGGTGCTGAGGATCAAACCTGGGCCGCACACATGCCAGGCGAGCGCGCTACCGCTTGAGCCACATCCCCAGCCCTGATCTGGCTTTTTCTCCTTGTCTAATTTTTCTGACTGTAAAATGAATAGACGTTTTATAGCAGAAAGTTTAGAAAGCACAAGAAAGTATAAACATGAGGAAATTTTTAATCTTTCTACCAAATATCAACCATTTTTAGCATTTTTGTATTTCTCACTGGTCTTCATGCACTTCTTTCCGTTTTGTTCACACCACGCGTATACGATTTTTGTATGGTGTTCTTTCTTACACTCTTCCACTTGTGTTAGCTTTTTGTTGCTATAATAAAATAACTTAAGTAGGCTATTTATGAAGAAAAAGAGGTTACTAGCTCACAGCTTTGAAGGCTGAAAATCTACACAGCATGGGTCAGTGTCTTGTGAGAGTCCCGCAGTGGCTGGCGGAGGACAAAAGGAAGCCAGGGAGCTGGGTGGGACCAGGATCCCGCTTTCATCACAAACCTGTCATGAGACTACCAGGGGGTCCCAGGACAGCTATCGTCACCCCTTTTGAAGACACACCCCCAGCTGACCTAAGGACCTCGCACTAGGCCCCATCTCTAAAAGGTTCCGCATCACCACCCCAGGAAACAAATGCCAATACGTGAACCTTTGAGGGGACAAACGGCATCCCCACCATAGCGCCACACTCATGACGACTCTTTGCAAACATCACTTTAATGGCTAGACACCACTTCACTGTTCTGATATACACTAGTGTGTTTTACTTCTGAGTTACTGCTAGGCTTCTAGATTGTTTCCAGATTTGCTATTATAAATCAATTCTACCATGTTCATCTTTGTTCCCATTCAGGATTTCCCCCCCTTAGGACTGATTCCTGGAAATGGAGCTCCTGGAATCCCAGCACTGCACTCCAAGTTCAGGGTTTTTCTTGGCCACACTCGGAGGGGAGTGTTCCTTAAGCTGTGCCCCCAGGACTGCGCAGAGCCCCTGCCCTAGCCTGGTTCTCAGCGTCTGTGATCTTCAGAGGAGACAGGCTCACACCCGAGTGAGATCAGAGGGCGGGCTGAGCTGGGTGGCCAGAGCCCACTCAGGACGTGGCATCGGAACCCCCTCTCCTTCTCCCTCAGTTTGTCACTGCTCAGGCTGTGGACAGATCACCTGTAGCCAACAAGAGGAAACTGCGTCACAGGCAGGGGGAAACCTGGGGGAGGTAGGGCAGGCGAGGATGCTGAGGGATGTGATCTGGCTTTGGAAGCCCTTGTGGGGCAATGCCGGGGCCAGACCCCCTCACCTTGTGAAGGGCTCCATGATAGGCCCGTAGCAGACAGGGAGACCTGGGAAGGCTTCCTGGAGGAGTCAACAGTTGAGTGCAGTGGTGGGCACACAGGTTTCACTTCACAGATGAGGCCCTCTCAGCTGGGTGAGGGACCCTAGATCTTGTCCTTAGACGGCTAAGTAGGGGAATGACAGGTCCACATTAAGGACAGTCCCTCTGGCTGCTGTGCGGGAGGCAGGGCTGCAGTTGAGAACTGGGCAAATTTAGAAATGCCACCACCCAGTCTGGAGACCAGGACTCCTGAGTCAGCACAGTGGCAATAGAGACAAAAGGCAGATGAGAGATCAGAGACGTGGGTTACAAAACAGAAAAAGCCATGGCAACTTACGACCTCTCTGTGGTGGGCGGGGACGAGTCCTGAACCAGAACTCAGAACACCTGGGTTCCAGTCCCTGCTCAGTGTGACCTGGGACAGGTCTCGGTTTCTATTGTCGTACCCCATGGAGGTTGTGTGAGGTCATCTCCACGCCCCTTTGTGATCCTGAGGCTGATCCTGAGACTAAGGTCCTGGAGGGAAGAGGAGAGGGAGAAACAGAGGCTGAGCAGAGGGAGCGGCTAGGGCGGGTCTCGGGGTCCTGGCTCTCCGTCTCCCCACTCCATCAATCTTGCAGCATTAATGTCAATGGGGTGGCCTGGGCCCCGGCCAGGGGCCAGCTGTTGGGAGGGAAGAGTTGTCTCTGGCTGGAGGAGCAGAAAGGAAAGAATGCAGAGCTTCCAAAAAGCCGTGAACGAGTCTTCTTCAGCCCTGGCAGGGTGCCCAGGGGTTTCGCAACTGCCCTCCAGTGAGAGGACGTGGGGGAGGGAGGGCGGACTCGTCCAGCTCTGCGCATCAGAGACTGCGGGGTGATGGTGGCCACACAGATGACTTTGGCTGCAAGTAAAAGCAGACCCTGCCTCCAACGGGCTACATGAGGAAAGCGTCTCTGCCTGCTGAGGTCCAGAGCAGCCCTGGGGTCCTCAACAACAAGGCCTGCTATTCTCTCCCACCTTCAGCTGATTCTCCTGTGGCCCCAAGATGGCTGTCAGTCTCTTTGGGCTTGAAAGATGGTGGCCAGTGGCAGTGGGGGACTCTGTGCTTATTCAGCAGGACTGAGGCACAGAGGACATCTCTCCCAGCCCTTACTTATAAGTCCTCTTCTTTGGTCTAAATAGAACAAATGGGGTCATGTTTCCAGCCAATCAGGGCCCCTCCAGGCATGCCATGCGCTGATTGGCTTAGGTTAACTGAGATCTTGGGCTAAACCTGGGGGTGGGGAGACTATCCCAACAGAATCGGGGTTCTCTGAGGAAGGAGGAGTGGAATCCATTGCTGGGTAGTGGTGAGCAGCACATCCACATGACGATGAACCTGAGGGCCTCAGCAGCTCCCCACACAGCCTGGGGTCAGCGGGACAGGGACCATCTCTAGATCACCAGGGAGGACTCGGGCACAGAGAAGGGGAGTGACTTGCTTGGACCACACAGGAGGTAAACAGCAGCGCCTGAATGGAGAAAACTAAGTGCTCAGCAAACAAACCAGGCCCAAGCTGCCCGGCACACTCCTGGATGGCTCCTTCAGTCAGGGCTGCTGCCTCCTCTGGGCTCCCAGGCCCTGAGCACCAGAACCGCCAGCCTCCAGCCGGAGCTACATGAACGAACTCATCCTTGAGGCTTCCCAAGGGCTGCCAGAGCCTGGCTGGGTCCAGGAACGACGGTGTGGTTTGGGATCCTAGGCTTGAGCTTCTGCGTCCTCTCTGTCAGATGGAACCCGGAGCCCCACTTTAGTACGTCTTGGCATATTTGTTGAGGGGAGGGTCAAGTGAGATGAGGACAGGTGCTTTGATATCTGTGAAGTGCTGTGGAAGGATCCAGCTTCCCGTCTGCTGGGAAAGGGCTCAATCTATGGGCCTCATCTGCACCAAGCCCTGGAAGACCACAGGAAACCAGCAGTCAGAGGGAGTCAGGGTCCTGGCTCTCCGAGATGGCCAGACCTGGAGCCATTTAACTACAAATGCACAGTTTGCATGTGCTTACAGAGTCCAGAGTGAGGTGATACGCTGCTCTAGGTCACACAGGACTAGAACCCAGTCCCCTGGTTCTCAGCCCCGTCTTCTGCACCAGGCCCTAAGCATTGAGTGAGAGCCCCCCTCCCCAGCCTGCGTGTGGGAGGGACAGCTGCAAAACGACTCGTGCCTGCTAGCACGTCCCCAAGTTTCTTGGGGGCCATTCTTCAGGGGTTCACTCAGGCGAGGCCACACTTCCCCTCGGGCGGCTTCCTGTTTTGGCCAAACAATGACTCTCACCGGGACCTGGTGCCAGCTGGCTGCAGCTGTGCCAAGGCCCTGACTCCTTGCGTGCAGGAGAGGAGAGGGACTGGTCCTTAGGGACTAGGCCAGGAACCCCACACCCAAACGTGTTCTTTGAGGCCCTCTGAATTCAGTCATTCCTTCATGTCCTGATCACACACACAAGCAGCAGGCTTTGTCTGGGTACCCAGAATGCAGAGACAGCTGAGGAGAGTTTGCTAATTTTACAGACAACATCCTGCACCCAGGAGGAGGGCATTGTCCTCGGTACAAGAAACGCAGATGTGCACAAGATGCACCCTCTAAACGTGCTCTATATCCTCCCATGTCCTTGTAAAAGCTCAATCTGTCCCCAGTCATCTAATGCAAGCAGCCCCACACTGCAGTCTCAGGGTCCATGGGAAAGAGATTCTAAGGGCATGAATAAAAATAATAAAGATGACATTTTTAATGTTGACTTTTTTGAGAGGTGAGGAAATCAAAGTTTGGATATGAAAGGTACAGGAAGGAGCTGGGACCTAACCTGGATCTTTAGATTCCAAACCTTGCACTTCAGGATGCTTCAAAAAGCAACCATCTAACTGGAGGCCCCTCAAGATTGGAGAAGGTAGGGAGGGTCCTTGGATCCATGGGGTGCGGTGCTTGCTGATGAATAAAATATGGGTGGAGCCCGGATGAGGGCAGGGAGGTGCAGGGAGCCTGCTGTATGTTAGGCCCAGTCATCTTGGTTCCTGCTCTGCAGTTGAGAAGGTGCGCCCCCCCTGGAAGAGCTTTTGGAGCATTTGCTGAGTGGGGAGCTGGGAGGCTCTCTCAAGCCCCATCCTACTGTGGCCATTCTCCTTTTGCCCCCAGGACTGTCCTGCTGGGGGGCTCTCTGTGCTGATTGCTGTGGTTGCTTCTCCTTTTTCTTGGGTTCGGCCCACAGGAGGCTGTAGCAAGGGGTCTGTGAGCTAGAGACAGAGGTAGGAGCACTCGCCCCCTGCTCCTCCTTGCATGGCCACAGTCTGGCAGCTGCTGCATTCTGGTGCCACAGCTGCTGTTGGGTGGCCCCAAGAACCAGGTAGGTTGCCCAACACACATGCCTGTCCCTCGGCTCTACAGACCTGCTGTGGTAATGGCTTCCTGCTGCTGCAGCTCTCCAGGTGCCCCTTCACCCTGTCGTTCCTGTCACCCTGCCTTCCCTTGGCCTTGTCTGTAGATTCCCTCAAGGGATCCCCCCATGTCCTATGGGAGTCCTGCCTAATAAGGCACCATGGCCAGACCTCTGAATCAAAATTTTCCATCTTGGGCTGGGGATGTAGCTCAGCAGTACAGTGTTTACCTAGCACATGTGAGGCCCTGGGTTCCATTCCCAGCGCCACACACACACACACACACACCAAAAAAAAAAAAAAAAAAAAAAAAAAAATTCTGTCTCCCTCCCTGTCTCCAGCATCACCCATCCACACTCTCCCGAGACAGGGCAGTGACCTGACAAAATCTGCTTCCCTGGAGCCTCTGGAATTTGTTGGTGCTGCTGTGGAGACAATGAGACGGAGGTTCCCACGGGCAGGCATTTGGTTCTCCTATGTCCCTCTTCTCTGGAGAATCTGAGAAGACATTTGGGCCATACTGGGCCCTGCCATGAGGTCTTGGGGGAGCAGTGATCTGGTCCTAGGCTTGTCTGCTCCCCAGGCCCAAGTTGGGGGTAAGGGAGGGGCTAGAAACCAGGGAGAAGAGGCAGAGGCTCCTTCTGCGGGACTTCAGGGCCATAGGAGTCCCCTGGGCAATGCTTTTTCCTGGGCAACACTTTCTGGTTTAGCAGTGGGAACAGGCCAGGAGGGAGGGACGCAGCTGAGGTCACTGGATGAATATTTCTCAAGTCTGCCTCAAGCCCCACCTCCCTCCTGAGCGCCACACACAGACCTCCACGTGCTCCAGAGACCTCTGTAACCATGAGAAGTTGACACCAACACATTCCCTTCCTCCTCTGCTCCTTGGCCCATTGACCCTCCATCAAGGGAAGGCACCAGAAGGCTGGCGCCAGGCCTGACTGGTTTTCCTCTCCATTCAGGGCTTGAGCCTATGCGGACTCTTGCCAAGTCCTACTCTGCTGAATTCTCCCCAGGCCATGGCCATCTCCCCAAGCTGGGTCTCACCATCTACACTTAATGATGACAGCGGCCTGATCTTCCTGAGCTCAGGCTGGACTCTTCCAATCCATCCTCCATTCAGCAGCCGGAGCGACTTTCCAGAAGTACAAATCTAAGCATGTCCCTTTGGCTCTTAAATGGAACTCAAAATGTGTGATACGCCCCAGGCCTCCCTTTCCAACTTTACCTCTAAAGAGAAATGCTATGGGATGTTCCATCAGCTTTGCTGGCCTCTTCACATCCACCATGCTGTAGTCAACTACAGAATAGCCCCCTTGGAAAGAGGCACCTTTCCAACAGTTCATCACTGTCTTAGCCTAGATTCCTCCGAAGCAGAGCATGAGACAAAGATTTGGGGCAAGTAGTCACTGGGGAGGTGATTTCAAGAGTAAGAGAATGGGGAGAGGAGGACAGGGAAGGAAGCAAACCCCATACCAGCGTGTGTTTTATCAGTCTCCACTGTGGACAACAAGCACATTCCTCCAGGACCCTGTGGAACCCACAGAAGGACTCGGAATCATCCACCTGCAAAATGGAAGCTAGAAATTGATCTGCTAACTCCAGCCCCTATGGGTAAGGACTTCTAGATATTTGGGCCATATGGCTGCCTAAGCAAGTTCCCATGGTGCCAAAGAGCCTGCAGCAGCTTTCTAAACTTGTAGCTCAAGCTTGGCGTAAATGCTGGCTGTGGGAGGTGACCTTGGATTAGCAAGGAATTGTTCACCTTGGGAGTGGGGGGGGGCAGCTGAAATCCAGTGCAAGACAGGGTGGCTGCATATAAACACTCCTTCATTGGAAAAATCTATGTGGCTTGCTGGAGCCAGCTGTGTATGAGATGCCCAGGTTGCTGAAGAAGAGGCTGTGCTCAGAGTTCACCCAGGGCATGGTGGAATGAGCATGGGATTTGCAGGCAGATGAGTTCAAACCCTGCTTCAGTTTACACCAGCTGTGGGATTCTGAGCAAATTACATCACCCAAGAGCCACAGTGCCCTTCTCAGTATAGGGATTATCATTTCTACCTCATAGAAATGCTTACGAGAATCAAGAGCAACCCAAGAAAGCAATAGATTTGGCTTTCTGATGTTGAGTCTGTTGTTGAATGACATCAGTATGTCAGTTTCTTTCTTCCCACAGGAAGGTAGCTTTGCAGACTCTCACTTCACTACCTCAGCCAGAATCACCCCCATTTTCTCCATGCCTGGTGGCACCTGGGTCACCTACAATTATCCAGCAGCCTTGACAACCTGTATGCAGTGTTTGGGACTGGTACATCAGCAATCCACTCCCCAATTTCACTGCAGGTGGC